TTTTTTATATGTAGTGTAGTTTTACTAGCATTATTTTGGGTTTTTGGTTTTTGTATCTCAAACTATGACTTAAAAAAATATTCAGAGAGGTTTGTATTTTATACTCCTCCAAATTATGTCAGTCTAATTTCTATTTAAGATTTTAATTCACAGAACACAAATAGCACAATTTATCTTGTTTTACAATCATCTTTTTAAAAATGTCCCAAAAATTAAACAATGCATATCCCTTGATGGGAGGCAAAAAGTACTCAAAAGAAAATTCAAAGCCCTCATAAAACTTAAAAAACTATAAGCAGAGTAACCGCTTGTGACCTCTCCTTTTTTCTCTCATTCCTCTCCAATCACACTGACTTCTGGACTACAGCAGACATGGTCCTACCTTATAGCTTATTCACCTGTTGTTGCTGCTGTTCAGAATGTCGACCCAAAGACATTCTGGTGGCTTGCTCTCTCACTTCCACAGCCTTGTAAATGTACAGAACTTTAAAAATATTTATAGTGATTGAGTAAGTGATTAACAGTACATGGTCTGAGCTATATACTTGGTTTAAAAGAATCTCAATTTCCTTGTCTTACTAGCTATATTTTTTGGCCAACTACTTTAACTGATCTATATACCAGTTTCTTTCTTAATAAAAAATAGGAGGCAGTTTTGAAAATTACAGTAGGTAATAGCTATGAAGTAATAATGGAACAGAAACATAAAATAAATCTTACCTAAGTATTTTATTTGATTTCTAACAAGTTTCCCTTTCTTTAAAATTTAAAAATATATTTAAATTTATTTTATGTGTATATATGTTTTGCCTACATGTATGTAAGTGTACCATGTGTATGCAGTACCTACAGATGCCAGAAAAGGGTGCTGGAGTCCCTGGATTGGGACTTAGGGGCAGTTGTGAGCTGCCATGTGGATCCTGGAACTGAAGCTGATACCCTTGAAGAACTTGCAGGGTTCTCAACCACTGAGTCATCTCTCTAGTACCAAATTCTAATTCTTTATAACACAGTATAAAGTACAACTGGCCCCTCATATTAGCAAACTCTACACCTACAGATAGATTTTGAAAAAAAAAAAGATCTGTATTGAATATGTACAGACTTAAAATCATTCCTTCAACAATACAATATACAGCAATTAATGACTAAGTGTTTACACTGTATAGCTATCACAAGCAACCTAAGGTGTACATAAACATATGCAAATATACCATTTTAGAAAAGGGACTCAAGTACAGTTTTTGCTATTACCAAGGAGAAAGGATGTGTATGAAAGCAATCCCCTGGCAGGCACTAAGAAAGGTCTGACTACACTACTACTTCTTTAAAGTATCCTTTTTACAAATGTCTAAATGGTACCCATCTGTTAAGTTTTATCCTTGAGCTCTATTCTAGTCAGTACTTTTTTGGTTTTGCTATATTCTTTAGCTTGGATTTAGTCAAGCTTATGTTCATCTATGACTCTAATTCAATCCTTTTTCTATCAGCTTGTTTCAGGTCTCTTATATACAGTGAGAAATGAAGGGAAAGGCCAACCATGGTTACTCACACCTTAATCTCAGCACTTCGAAGGCTAAGGCAGGAAAATTACTACAAGTCTGAAGCTAGTCTGAGATAAAATGTGAGATCCCGTCTCAAACAACAAAAACAACAAAAAAGAAATGAAAGGTGAGAATTCAGCGCAATATGCCACTAATTCCAATCTATGAAAATACCAGTAGGATTTACTCAATAACTGCCCTTTCTGCTAACAGATGTGAAGGCTGGATTCTGCTGGGAGATGCAGACCATTCAATCTTGAGCATACAATGACTCAGTATTAGGGACTCATAAGTTAGGCAGCTCTTCCCCAAGTTTTCAAATATTTGTAGGAACAGTGTTGCAGGAAGCAAAGCTGGACAGACTGGTGGAACCATGTCTGCTCCTTGAAATTGAAGCCCCAGAAACTGGACATGGAGCTAAAGGATTTGGTGTTTGCCCTGCTGGGTTTCTATCTTCCTTTGGTGCAATCTTCCTTATTATGCCCCTGTGCTGGAAAGCTTTAGTGTCAACTTGACACACCTGGGTTGAGGGAGCCTCAATTGGGGGATTGCCTCTATTGGACTGGCCTGTGGCCATGTCTGAGGGGCATCTTCTTGATGAGTGATGTGGGAGGGTCCAGCCCACTGTGGGTGGTGCCACCCCTGGGCAGGTGGGCCTGTGTTGCATAAGAAAGCAGGCTGAGCAGGGGCCAGGGGAGCAAGACAGTAAGCAGCATTCCTCCATGGCCTGTGCTCCAGCTCCTGCCTCCAGGTTCCTGCCCTGAGTTCCCACCTTGGGCTCCTGGATGAACTGTGACCCGGGATATGTAAGCTAAATAAACCCTTTCCTCCCCAAGTTGGTAGTGGTCAGAGTATTTTGTCACAGCAATGAAGAAACAAACCAGAACAGCCCCCATTCCTCACTTTTGGGAAGGGAAGATATGTTCTTTGCCATATGCTGGAATTATATAATTTGCTTTTTGATTTTACAAGATGATGCAGTTGAAAAGATTGCCTTGAGTCTCAGAAGAGACACTGGACTCTTTCCTTTTCTTTCTTCCTTTGAGACTTTGGATTTTTGGACAGTGTTTTGACTGTTAAAGACTACGGAGACATTTGAAGTTCAACTACATTCATTTTGTTTCATCTAACAGCCATGAGCCTATGAGGATCATGGAGTGAAAATGTGATGGTTTTAATAAGGAACGTTATCCATAGGCTCATGTATTTGAACACTTGGTCCCTAGTTGGTTGTGCTGTTGGAAAGGTTATGAACTTTTGGAAGGTGGAGACATGTTGAGGGGAAGTATATCACTGGGGCTAGGCTTTGAGGTTTTATAGCCTGGCCCCACTTCTTGTGTAAGGATGAAACTAGATCTTTATGCTTCCTAACTGCCATGCCTTCCCTACCATTATGAACTGTATCCTCTCTGGAACTGTAAGCTAAATAAAATAAAGCTTTTTTATCCTCTAGGTTGCTTTTGGTTCTGATATTTTAACAGCAAAAAAGTAGTAACCAATACAAATAACAATAATAGCAATAGGACATTTTTGTGGATGGGAATTGGGAAGATATTAACACAATGCCTTAGGGTTCTACCTCAAACCAGAAGCCTCTTTCACTACCTATCAGTAAATGACATTATAAAATAAAAATTTAATAAAATATTGTAAAATAAAATTCTCAACTTATGAGATTACATACTGACAAATTAATAGAAAATATTAATAGAAAATGCATGTAAATAAAAACATGCATTTAATCCATCTAGCCTATTGAACACCAGAGTTTAACACAATCTACAAGGGTATATGCTGTTTACCCTACTGAATGCCTGGAAGGGAACTGTGGCCTGCTCAGCATTACAGGACAGTACTGTACCATACAAAAGATCAAAACTGAGTATTCGAAGTATGGTTTCTACTGGTTGTACATTTCTTTCACACCACTATACAGTTGAAAAATGGTGACCATCATAGGTGGGAGCTAGCTATTTCTACTCATTGTCTTTTCCTTTCAGATTCAATTTCATCTGTTTCCTAGTTCCTCGAATTTGAGAGATGTTCCCAAACAATGTTATGTTACAATGAAAAACTTTTTCCTCCATCTAAATTTTCCAAAACTTAGTCAAAGACAACTATATACCTATAGTTGAACAAGTTTTATTTATTGCTCACTGACAAACACTGACAAAAGGAAACGAGCTGGCTCAAAAGTGTGTTAAAGCAACTTATATTACTAAGGCTCACATATAATTTGTAGGAGTGTTCAAGGAACCTAGGACTTCCTTTTCCCCTTAGAGATAAGAGTTATGCAATTTGGAAGTCTTTTTAGATAGACCCCCCTGAAGGGGTACTCCAATTGCCTCACCTTGAGCCCCTGTTCACCATGGAAGAAGCCAGAGTGGTTTGTGTCCCTATTCCCTATTGGCAATTTGGATAACCTCTTCAGAGGATGGTGTGATAAGAATAGGAGGTAGGAATTGGCTAGGCAGTTAGGGTAAAAAGACTCCAAAGAAAAGTAGCCAGTTTCTTGGCTAAAAGTCAAAATGTCCTTTGGACTGTTAGCAACATACTCTGTTCCAAAGGCCAAAAATATCGAAAATATTTTGGAGCTTGTATATAGCCCTTAAAAGATTTTAGGGTTACCTCTTCAGAGGGGAAAATGTTAGAGTAGCCAAAAGCCCCATTAAAAATAAATAAACAAAAGAAGAAAAAAAGAAAAAGAAAAAAGTGATGGGGAGATATGGGAGGTGCTGGAGGGGAGGGAGTGGGCATAGATTTGATCAAAACACCTTATATGCATGTATGAAAATTTCAATAAAGTTTTTGCAAAAGTTAAAAAAAATACAACTATAATAAAATTAAGACTTTTAAAAAGAAAAATTCTATGCATATACAGGTACAAGAAAGATTGACTGAGGATAAAACAAATGTGATAAAAAAAATCTTAGTTGCTGGAGAAGCTATTTGATATAAAGTAATTTTTTTTTATATATTCATATTAGTACTTCTCCCAGAATCTGAAATTGGGGTAAAAAAAGAGAATGCATGTTAGGACTCAAAAAACAAGGTTGGCAATATTAGCAATCTCTTAGTCAAAGAAGAAGAGAATAAATGTCAAAATTATCATATAAGTACTTGGAAGAGGTGAGGCTGTGTTCATTTTATTCAAGTTTCTAGTCAGTGTAACTGCAAGAAACGCTTAATCCTTTAACACAATTATGGGTAATTTGTCAATAGATTTTGACTTTTATTTCCCCACCTGCCTCAGGTCTGATATTAATCAGTAAGTTAAAAAGCATGAAAAATTTGTATCATTGACAAGCAAATAAACAGGTGATTCTGTTACCATGCAAATCCTTAAGAAAAGGGCATATTATGAAAGAATATTTTAGCAAATTAACTTACTGTTTTACAACTTAGATGACTACACGCATGGCACTACTAAAACACATTGTTAAATCTATCAATTACCTGGGAACTGCCACTGAAACCTGGAGGTTGGCTGTATTCTGTGGAATCAATAATACTACTGTAAAACGAAGAAAGAAAAAAAATACAATTTCAGTATTTACATTGCTTCAATAACAGGAAAAGTAGATCTAAAATGCAAACAGTTTTTTTTTTAAGTAAACACTTTTTGACAAACATTTAGTTAGACACCAAAGGAACCACAGATACAAAGTGAGTGAATATTTAGGCTCTCTACTCCTCCATCTCCTCAGAGAAACATACCAAGAAGGAATATCAAATGGGAACAATCATAAGGAAGGTATGTACACTGATTTGTCCCTATTCCACTTCTAAATAGATTAGTGAGCTTTGGAATTTTAAGGAAAAGAGGATATGCAGTATAGGGGAAAAGAGTACATACATGCACTTAAAACTACACTTAACCACACCCTGTTATACCACTAGAATGTTATGTGCTCTTGAGTAATTATCTTACAATCATTCACTGAAATGAATAAGAACAATCTATCTGTAAATATGTTACCAACCCAAAATGGCATGAAAAAACCTGGTAAAAGAACACTATCAAAAAATGGAATAAACAATAAAAAAAAGGCTAAAGTAGAAAGAGGTTTCTCTCATAACCCCAAACCTCCATATGCTAGTCTCCTCTGCCCTGGTCAAACATGTACTTCCTGTAATGTTTTCTCATTTGTTGACAGCTTCTATGTGTTCTCCTACTTAACCCTCATTCCTGCATCTTTAAGTAAAATTAGCTTAGAAAAGCTACCAGCAGTGAGAAGCCAGGAATTGTAGCTCATGCTTTGCATTTCAGCTCTTAGAAACTGAAGCAGGTGATTCACTAGTTTGAGGCCATGCTGGGCTAAAAAGCAAGGCTTGTCACAACAGCAACAATAAAATAATAATAATTTTTAAAAAATAGAACTAATTAACAATTTAAAACTTTGTAACATACCAAACATGATAGCCAGCTATTTTTTAAAACATTTTTTGTTTGCATTTCTGAAAAAAGCATGTTTCTATCCTAATAAAATCAACCAATTGAGGATACTAATTAAAGGTTCTCTATACAAGCTTGGGGGGCCAGGAAACCTAGAGGGAAAAGTGATGCCCTAGAAACCCTATGAGAAATGCACAGAGTGTTTGAACATTAATGTGTATGTATATCTGGGAGCTGCTTCGTGGGGAATGCAGTGCCAGATAGAAGAGACCTCCCTTAAAGTGACAGACATGCCATACAGCACTCATCAAAGAAGTTTCTTTATGCAATAGATGAAGGCTACTGCAGAGCTGCACATCTGGTCAGGCACAGAGGACATACTCATGGGAGATACCCAGTACTAGGTGATACACCTGCAGTCAAATCTCTACAACCGAGGCTCACAGAACATAGCGGAATAAGGGGTAGAGAGAGGGCTAATGCACCCCTCAACTCTCACCAGTAAGGCTTCCATGTAGAGTGCGATACACACAAAAGGCCACAACTGGCCAAGTTTTGGAGAATAAGAGACTGTAGAGTATAGGCTGGGACTCCTCAATGGAACCTCACCCACCCAAGGTTCAGGGACCATTGTGGAAGGGGGCAAAAAGATTGTAAGAGCCAGGGCTGGTTCATGAACATAAGGAGGTAGAGGCTTCCAGATCACTGGAGGCTTGCCCATGTGAGCCTGCAGCAGCAGTGGCGTCAAACACAGGACCCATTTCACCTCAATTAAACAAGAGCCCAAAGGGGAGGTGAAAAATAAGTGGTGGGCCAGCACTAGATTGACAACTGTTTGATAGTGATTGCTGCTGGATGAGGTAGAGTATGACTTACATACAACCACTGGATGGGCTGACTAGACTCCAGTGGACGCATTTACACTGATGGACATTTGGGTACACACACCTGAATGAACAGGACTCAGCATGTATGGCAGAGTGCATGGATTGCAGAGGGGGTCTGGGAAATGTATGAAATTTTAAAAGTTCAATTTTTTTAAAGAATCTATGAACTCTAGGGGCTGGAGCAATGGTTGTGGTTAAGAGCACAGCTTTAGCAGAGGACCTGGGTTCAGTTCCCAGCACAAACATGGCAGCTAACAACTTTAAGTAACTCTAGTTCCAGGGGATCCAATGCCCCCTTCTGATTTTTGTGGGGATTGCATGACATGGGTGCAGCAGGCAATACATTCATACACATAAAGTAATAAATAAAAGGCATTGTAGTGCATGCCTATAATCCCAGCACTTGGGAGGCAGGGAGATCTCTGTGAGATCAAGGTTAGCCTGGTCCACATACCAAGTTCCAGGCCAGCTGGGACTATAGCAAGACTGTGTCTCAAAAAAAGTATCCGGACTCTTAAAGTGGGTTTCTTCAGATGAGATATAGTTAACGTGTGTCTTCTCCACAGTCATGGTCTTATGTAACAAAAATCACAAGCTATTTTTAGTCTATTTATATAGGGACTAACAGAGCTAAAAATAACTGTATGCTGTGCATTTAAAAATCCCTATTCCCTTACTAATGAAACAATTCCTAGCATTTGTATAGCACAATGAAAATTAAGGAAACTGGGAGTATGGTGCCACAGGCCTTTAATCCTAGCACTCCAGAAGCAGAGGGAGGTGATTTCAAGGCTAGTTTGATCTACATAGTGAGTTACAAGCCAGTCAGGGCTGTACAGTGAGACTTTGTCTCAAACTTCACCCCTTTCCCCTCCTCCCCTACAAACAAAAAATAATTATGTAAGTATAGAACCAAGGTGGCTCAGTCAATAGAGTTAGTTGTGCAAGTATGAGGACCTGGGTTCAATCCCTAGCACCCATGGAAAAACCCAGAGTGGCCACCTGAATTGATGACCCCAAGTAGAGTAAGAGACACTGTCTCAAAAAATAAGGGGAGGAACTAAGGAACTAAGGAAGATCCCTAAAGCCAACCTCAGGCTACCACAAGTGTGTATACACATGTGCACATACTGACACGAACATATATAAACACAACACACACCAATTATGTAGGTGCATTATTTACAGGCCCAAAGAAAAACTTCCAGCTATGCACTTTTTATGGCCTCGGATTCATAATTTTCTGACTGCAAGCCTGAAAAATGATACTGGTACCAGTGTATAGAGTAAGATAATACATTTTAAATCCATGTTTAAAAGGACACACTTGTGTACCTACACTAGACACAGTCACAAACCCTGACAAAAATAGCTGCTTCTTGACACTAACATTCTAGGTCATAAGTGTTTTTTTTCCCCGTAAAATAATGATAGAATGGGGCCTGGAGAGATGGCTCAGAGGTTAAGAGCACTGGTTGCTCTTGCGGAGGAGGCAGGATGGGTTCCTAGCAACACATGGCAGCTAATAACCACTGTAACTCCAGTGCCTCTGTGCGCATTCCAAGCACAGGTACACTCACATACATGTAGGCAAAACACAAACTAAAAAGCAGCAACCTAAAGTATGAGACATGATCATTTAACTGTTTTATGTAAATACTAATATTAATTAAAGTTATAAACATTTAATAAGGGGTCAGGCATGGTGGCCTTTAGTCCCAGCACTTAGGAGGCAGAGGCAGGCAGATCTCTGTGAGTTTGAGGCCAGCCTGGTCTCCATGGCTAATATAGGCCAGCTGTGGCTATAGGGAGACCCTGTCTCAAAAAGACCCCCACCCCCCCCAAAAAAGAAAAAAAAAATAGCATTTTGCCGGTCATGGTGGTGCACTCCTTTAATCCCAGCACTTAGGAGACAGAGGCAGGCAGATCTCTGTGAGTTTAAGGCCAGGCTGGTCTACATAGGGAGTTTCAAGGCCAGCTGGGGCTACAGGGAGACGTTGTCTCAAAAAGTAAAAATAAAAAAACCTGGCAAGGGAAGAAAGAAACTTTCAGAGTGTGACTAAAACAAATCAGGAATAATAAGCTTTAATCAAAATGAGAAAAAAAGATGCTATTTCCCAATGTTTCTGCTGGTGAGAATAAAAAAAGTAAACAAAACCAATGCAGGCCTGGGGGTGCAGCTCAGTAGGGCCCTTTACTAGCAATGTGTGTGGGGCACTACATTTAATCCCAAGCACTGGGGCTGGGGAGCAGAAGTACAAACAAAATTCAGTTATATACAGTAACTAGGTGCCATATAACTATTAACATAAATTGTTCGCTTCCAAAAGTAGAGATAAACTATTTCACATATAGAGTTTCTTTTGCAATAATAAATAAGTAGCCCAGAGAAAACTGTTTCATTCTTGGTAAAAATAATAGGTTTTCTAATTTTAGATTGGCTTTTTATTTGAAAAACAATGATTTACATTTAAAATATTAATATACACAAAATTAGTTAAATTATAAAGACAACTTTTTAATCTAAAAGATTAAACACTGAATTTTAAAATAAACAATGAGATGAAACAAAAAAATTGCCAAGTACACACATAAAATTAGAGTAACTACTATCACTGAGACATATATAAGCATACATGTGTACATCTGTTATATATTTAAAAGACATAAAAATAAACTTCTATTTTTAATGAAGCGTATTTAGCTACTTTCCTTTGCAGTATTCGTATAATTATTGAACCATTTCCCTGCAACAAAATCTGACATGTTTTAAATTGCTTTACATATCGAATAATAAATCTCACTTATTAACACCCAAATTCTCATGGCCCAAATTTTGCAGACACATTCAAACATATTAGAACTACTCTGAGAACTGCAGCGATAGCAGCAGCTGAGATCTACTGGGTCCTAACTGTGTGCAGACATTACTCTCATTTTTCCAAACATGCTATCATCTCATCTATCAGTCAGCTAAGTACTATCATTCTACTTTTCAAATGAGCCAACAAAGGCATACACACAGATCAATAAACTTGCCTAACTGGTAAAGTTACACAAAGATGAGTATGAACCTAGGTAGTATAATTCTAAGATTCTTATACTAAAATTACAAAAGTGACTCATATTCTCTTAAAGAATCACTGCCCAGTCATGCTGAACACAGCTTCTACTTAACTTTCTAATGATTTACACTCAGTTCTGTGGTGATTTGCACAACTCTCTCATTTA